ATTTTATTGTGAATGTAAAAGTGATGCAATGCCTACGCTGCAATGTGCACTAACACAAAAACCATATAATATTAATAATACGTACACAGACACAAATCTTTTTTTTCTTCCATTCACCCCGCCCCACCCCCTGACGAACCATTAGCTTGCCAGCTATCTAGCGATCTAAAAGTAAACTGCGGTGAGAAAAAAAAAGCACAACAGTCGGCTTTTTGTTGAGGATGCTGCTTTGAGAATAAACACAATATATATACTGTACACACTTCAAATAAATCCTTTGAAACGCATTGAACTGGCGAGTTACGAGTGGTCGTGATGGATGACGACAGTTGAAGTGTAACTTGAACTCTATCACCCCGCCCCCAGTCATCAATTATGATCTATTTGACTGATGCCAAAATAAGTGCTCGGCCGATTAATGAAGTGTAGGACAAAAGTAAATACCAGCAGAAATGAGCGTTTCTAACATGAAACTTATGTTAATAGATGCAGTTTCTATCTCCCTGTTCAATGTACAACGGCGTAGAAGTAGTCCTTCCATGACAAGAGCTGAAAACACATTTTCCCTCTGTACCCGTGTTAAAGCGCATCTAACTGCAGCCCTTTTTGTGTGTGTCTTCAGGATCGACCAACATCTTTACCCCCACCAGCCTGCTGGAGCAGCTCAAGGCCATGAACAAACCAGACGAAGAAGTGACGAGTTAAAAATCTCTGCCCTCGCTCGTCCAATCTCTCTCCTCCTTACTTTCCTATTTACATCAACCATTACCTTTCTTCTGTATGCATCTTGCTTGAGGATAATAATAATTAAAAAAAAAAAAAAAACGTCATCAAAGATGACAAGAAAATATATGTTCTCACAAAAGAGTAAAAAAAAAAACAAGTATTCTCATGTTTTGCAACGGATGCAAAGAAACGACTTGATTGAGGTATCCATAGAAGACGGCCATTTCAAAGGGAACACACCAAAATGTCAGCGTGTACTGTATGCTATAAAACCTGCTAGAATATGTCAAAGGTCAATCTATCCTTGTTGGTCATCCTGGGATACCTGCTTCGGGTCAGTGTCGTGAAAGCGGGTGGAGGAGGGATGTGCCATTTGAGAGGTTCGAGTTGTAAAATATAGCATATCAATCAACATGCAATATATATATAAATATATTTAACCGGGGAGGAGTTGCCCCCTGCCGCCCATTTGAGATGTTTGTATCAAAGTAGCATGCTTGGACGTGTCTGGACTGTTAACTGTGTTTGTATCCCGTGTGGATGTGTTTGGGGAGCTAGCTTTTCTTTTCCACCAAGATTGTGTTTTGGATACTCTACTGAAAGACCTTTCCGCTTCCCAAAACGTCTACGGAAGCATCCGCGGGGCTCAGCTTGCGGCTCCGCGCGTGAGCTCAGACTATGCAAATTCACCACACGAACGCTTTCGCCGTCACTTGAGGGATCGTTGTGGTCCGGTCACTTGGTGATTTTGAAGCAAGTCATCCCTCCGCCGACAGCCCAGATTATGAAGTATTCAACTGCCCCCCCCCTTCTCCAGACGCCGGACAATGTCATGTTTTCATGTTAAATGAATACGCTAAACAATGATGTCCAAACTAGAGCCCGGGGGCCATTTGCGGCCCTCTATCCATTTTCAGCGGACCGCGACATGTCCCCTGCTCTAAAAAATATATATTACAAATGACATGAGACATGGTTAGTTAGAAAAACTGAAGGTGGGCAGAGTGAGAAAGGAGAGAACTTTTCTCTATATTCCAAGATTTAAATAAAAGAAGAACATCATGTATCTTCAAAATGCTGTCGTGAATAACGAGAATTCAATGTCAGAGCTAAAAATAGTTTCTTCCACTTTGTGCTCTATGAATATTTATGAAGACATCACATCAGCGATCCTCAAGTCACTGAAAAATGGTCACCTTACTAGTTAGTTCTTTTTTCGGTTTGAACGTGGCCCTTTCATCCTTCTATTTTTTTCTGCATGCGGCCCTCAACCAAACAAGTTTGGACACCCCTGCTCGAAAAGAAGCCCTCTTGTGTTTCAGTATTGTATCCTGTCAGTCTTATTATTGCTTCGTAATGACGTTTCATCGGAACATGCACTGTGTAGGTGTTGTGATGCCATATGTTGCTGTTTAGCGTCTCACTGTTGGATGTTTCGGACTGTGAAGTAGTGCTAACTTTCCTTTATGAAAGCCAATAAGACGCCACTGTATTTGCGATGTTTTAGCTGTAGCTGTTAGTTGGAAACAAACGAAAAAAAAAGAATACCTATATTTTCTTTGCCTGATTTTCCGCTGGTGCAAATGTAAATCCTCTCCGATGGTGAATGGCTTTGCAAGAGAAAAACAAAACCCCCACATTTCCTCCATCCCTTTCCTCTTACCCAGCCAAACAAGTTGAATATTGCACTTCAAGTTTTCTGTGCTGCAAATGCTTACTCGTGTCTATTTTTGTTTCAATTTATTTGCCGTTCTAGCGGATGAACTGTCAAATTGCTTGATTTCGTTCCCAATTTCCATCCGTCCATTATCCGAACCGCTTATCCTAATCAGAGAAAAGTATCAGCACATTAGTCTGTCGTTAAATTGTTTAACTTATTGGGAATGTATGTTTGCGAGTGTTGAAGCACAAACAATACTTCCATGTGTAACATATATGTACTAAGGCTGTCGAATAAATTGGCTTCCATTACTTTTGAGACTCGTCAGTTATTGGTCACGGTCGCTAAATGAACAATGAATGCAGTCGTGGTCATACAAAATTCAGTAAGTCGTCGTGTATATTTAACACTTTTCAACCTTTACGTCTCCTTCACAGAGAGCACCAAGAGAAACATTTCAATGGAAAAATTACTCAACAGGTGGATTTTTAGAATAAAATGCAGGTAAATAAATGCTGACTGGATAGAAATTTTACAGTTTTATGTTATGTTCAGTGCACATTTGTGGTTTTATGTTTATACAATCCCAACACGATAGTGGATGAATACATACAAAAAAATAGATCACGAGGTCTAAAAAAATATCGTAAAAGCCTCACCCCAAAGGTCAATGTAAAATGTGAGATTTTACAAGTTCCTCAAGCTCCCATCTCGTTTCAACTTGGGGATGGATGGCGTTCATTATTAGTTTTATTTGAAGCCTCCATTACCGTCACCATGCGTCCTAAGAGTCCAATCAGTGACTTTGTGTCCTCCTCCATCCTGTGCATCAGCTCTCTACTAAACTGGAAGAACCGTTCGTCCGATCGCTCCAAAAATTCCAACAGGCCATCGCTTGGTCGCTTCCTTTTCGCTGTGCACAACAAGAATTGAAAATAAACAAAGTGATTCCAGGTTATGGGAAATGGGTTCTCGTCCCTCCGTGCTCAGTCGTAATCAGAAAAATAAAGAAACCCAATTCGCCGGCTATGCTTTGACAGTGCAAAAACTTATTTCTGTGTCTAAGCCCAAAAATCGTACCCCTTTTGGTTGTTGTTGAACTTTCTTTGGAGCTGCAGGACGGTGAAGGCGAGTCACATGGGAGAGGTGCCGATGGTGGTGGAAGGTCGTCGCTACTATCGACCGACATAACCTCAGCAAACAAACCTAAAAAGAACACAGCGATGATGTTGAATAGTTTCAAAACACAATCAAGTGATGTGTGCCTACATAGTTTCAGTAAGGGGTGGCCAAACTTTCAAGATCTACTTTTTAAGCAACCAACCGCGTGCGATCGACGCGTTTCCGCATGTGCACGCATACCCACATGCATGCCAGGATGAGCAACGGCCAGAACGGCCCCGAACATGAACCAAACAGAAAATTAAAGTCGATACAATAGTTTGCGAGTTAGTGAAAAGGATTTACTGTTCGTGACCTTCGATGATGGGGTGAAAGCTGAAAATATAAAATCGTACCTCTTCTGCCATTGTTTGTTGCATTTATTGCTGTATTGCAATAAAGGGGTGGAGGTGGAGGTGTGTTGCTGTCTGCTTTAATGACGTGGTCATCGGTGGAAAAACCTAGAAATAACAATCCAAAAGCAAAAAGAGGTTTAGAATGCAACAGGATAAACTAACTGACCACATACATGAAAATACCGAAGAAGAATCTTTTCACGTCTGCTATTGATATGCATGTGAATAGATCTTATTGATAATCAAAGGCAAATCCCCAAAAAGATTATTGAGCATTTAGAGATTTTCCAGATTCACATTCTTTTACTCTGATGGCATTTTTAGACCCGACTGTTAGATGATATGCGGATGCATTATTTTGGTTAAAAAAAATAAAATTTTTTTTTAAAAAATGACCCGATGTAGTCCATAAAATATTTTCATTTACTGTTCGTGACCATCGACGATGGGGTGAAAGCTGGAGAAAAAAAAAAATCGTACCTCTTCTGCCATTGTTTGTTGCACTTATTGCTGTATTGCAATAAAGGGGTGGAGGTGGAGGTGTGTCGCTGTCTGCTTTAATGACGTGGTCATCGGTGGACAAACCTAGAGATAACAATCCAAAAGCAAAAACAGGTTTAGAATACAACGGGATAAACTAACTGACCACAAGCATGAAAATACTGAAGAAGAACCTTTTCACATCTGCTACTGATGTGCATGTGAATAGATCTTATTCATAATCTAAGGCAAACCCCCCAAAAAACATTATTGAGCATTTATAGCTTCAACAAAAAGGGGGGAACTCTCCAATCCAACCTGTTCGGCCATCATTTTTTGCATTGTCGACCGGGAAGGAAGGTGACGGTGGGTGGCACAGGCGTGATGGTGCAGCAGTATCGGCTGTAATCATGTTGTCGTCAACAGACAAACCTAGAAATCACATCCCAAATGAAGAACGGTGTTGAAACATGCTGTGTGTTTGTAGCAGTCTTATTATGCGCAGGCGTTGCATTGGATTTGGCGCAAAAATACTGGCTTAAGACCAGAAAGCTGAGAAAACGAGCATTATTTATTCCATGACTTCAATGACAACGGCAATCAGTTCACAAACCCAATTGGAAAATAAGGACACCGTTTGCCAAAATCAATTGTGCCTCTGCCGGATACAGCCAAGAAGTGCAATTGATTTGACCTCAATCGCTACAATCAATTTGAATTAAAAAATACGGATTAACTTGACATTTTAACTTTTAACCTTTTCGTTTGAAATTTCTCACTGTTGAATGTGTGAAGTCGTAACTAACAACATTCACTTTCTGATGACGCAGCATCAGGAGTAACTGGGGGTTCAGCATCTTGCACTATGACACGTGACGAGGCGGGGGGTGACAAATCCACAACCTCAACCATATTTGGATGACATTACAGGGGAAAATATAGGATAGGCTTACCAATGCCCGCGGATGGGTCAATGATGCTCTCCGGTATTGCAGAGGCAGGACTGACGGTCTCCATCAATGGGGGTGGGAGCGTGTTACCGAGCACAGACTCCATCATTTCATAAAATGGCATTTGTGCCAGGTCACTGGGTTTCAGGTGTTTCTTCTTGTCCCTATATTCCATTTTCAGTTTCTTCAACTTGTTGTTGATCTGTTCCGTGGTGCGGTTGAAGCCCGCACTCGCCATCTCCAGCCGAATGAACTCCATCATCAGCTTGGCCCTGCCTGCAAAATTGTTCCGTGACTCGGGGGACGACCACAATGCGATGAGACAGCCCGTCTCCTCCACGGACCACTCTTGTTTCTGCTTCGCTTCAACGCTTCGCCCTCGGCTGTTGCGTCTGTGGCCATAGATGGCTTCCATCTGACCTAACCACTTCCAATCGCTTCTGTACAAACTGCCGCGGCGACCGTGGTCCTTTATGGCTTTGTAGTCACTCTTCATCTTTTTCAGTTTTTCTCTGCAAGTCTGAGAACTGCGGTCAAACCCGTGCGTGGCCATTTGCTGGGAAAGTTCCAGGTAGGCTTTTTCAGTTCGGGGTCCGTCCAGTTCTTGCTGTATCTTTTCCTCAGCCACCAATTTCAAGAAAAGTGCGACCTCGCTCTCTGACCACCGAGTGAACTTCCGTGTAGCCATGATACGAATAGAATAACTGTAAACGAATCATCTGAAGAGAGTTGGTATAAAAATGGAGGATTGTACTTGGCTCTGGCGCGTCTTGTCGCTTGGTGATGACGTACCGCGGGACCCAATACCCAGACTACACTCCGTAGTCGTCGCTGAAGTGTGCTCATAGTCGAGGTGTCCGTATTGTCCGAGAGCGCAGGTTACGAGCGTGTTGCAAAAATTGGGACAGCGCGTGTATTGCGTCATCGACATTCGCCAGTATAGTGTGTCTCGTCATTAAATATGGCGACACCGGTGGTTGTTGTTTTGGTAATTGTCATGCTTAGAATTTTAAGAAGTAAAAACTTGGGCTTTGACTTTCTGCCGACGGCAACCATGGCTCCATCATTTAAGGACCCTGCACGATCTGCGGCACAGGCCGTTAAGGCAACTCCACTACAACAAAATACATTGGTGACTTTAAAAAATACTGGCGGCACAGTGGCTCCAGTACGCCAGCTACGTGTGTGAGGAAAAGCATATTAGAAAATGGATGGATGATACATATTAGTCAGGTCACTTTCTGGTAATGGGATACACAGTATGCTAGGACCAAAAAGTGTTAAAACATATTGTTTTAATTTATAATTTAACAGAGAGTACTCGTAGACAGATATAATACAAGAATAGCACGTGTAAAAGTGAAGGGTATTCATACTTACATGGTACTTTAGTTTTCTGGCCAATGTAAACTTATGGGCGTCATCTTCATTTACACTACTTTGCTAAATAACCTCCCTGTACAATGTTGATCACACAATAATCCGTATTTCACAAACTGTTTAACCTTTATACGGCTGCTATATCGTGTAAAAGGTTTTGTGAGAAGTCACTGCGCCTGCACCAGGCGGGCTCTGGGAACAGACGCACCGTGAGTCAGTCAGAGTTGGAATTGGAGCGGGACTTGGAGAGTCGCTCCAGAGAGCGCATGCCTGCTGTCAGTGAACGCACCATGTTTTTTGACACGTCTTTTATCTTCTGCGCAGCTAGGAGGGCTTCATCCACAGAGCATTCCGGAACAACGCACGGCGAGGGGCGCGACCTCTCCTCTTCTTTGCTACTGTCCACCTTTGAGGGAGAGCTTGTGTTGTTGGTGCACACGTGAACGGGTTGAGGTTGGAGATACAGGCTAAAAGTAACAAAACAGTCATCAAGTCACACATTACAGCTCTCATGATTAAAATTGGTCAATTGTGTGTATATATGTGTGTGTGTGTGTGTGTGTGTGTGTGTGTGTGGGGGGGTTCAAGTGGACATGTCCCTTACAGCAACGGTGTAGGACACAATGACGGGCAGACAGCAGGTGGTGCCGCTTTGTTGGGAGACTCCAATGGTGTGCAGCTGGAGATCTTGGAGGCGTTTGAGTCTCTGCAACAGTCTGTGAAAAGTAGCATGTCAGATACTCCCACTAATACTTTGACACACTGACAACACACACTACTCTTTGTTTGATTTAAATACATTTCTCAGAAGAGGCCGAATATAGATTTGTCTGGTACATGTCCCACCTTATGCTCCTCATCCCTTTTACAGTCATGGTTTTTTATTGAACACACAAAAACAACCACGTGGCCTCCTCACCTTGCTCATTGGCTGTCTTGGTCTCGGAATGTCCACAATGGGGACAACGATGACAATGACAGGAACAGAACTGGGGGGGCTCTCGGTGGCCACCTGCTTGTTCCGAAGGTTACAAACAACCACAATGAAAAGCGACAAGTCAAAGAGCATTAGTCGATTCGGGGAGACAAAAGACAAGAGTGGCGACGGGTTGCTGCTTACTTTCAGAAGACACTTTGTGATGTGACAAACACTGAGAACAAGGAAGAACTCCGCTTGTCCGGCCATCATTGTCGTCTGCGCGCTCGGCACTATCCCGCTCTGCAAAACATACAAATCAGATGTCATGCAATCCCGTAACTATATTCTCCTGGCTTGGCGATGAGTTTTTAAACACATATTCTTCTTACTTATGTGCTGGACTTGGGCACTTGCGTATGAAAGTTGGCTGTCAGTTGCTGCAATAGATGTTTGTGTGGATCTTGACACCAGAAGTCGCCGAGCAGCATTTTCGTCCTCTGTCGCAGTTGCTGAAACATTTAAAAAAAAAAAAAAAATCATCACTTATGGGTGATCGTGTTCAATGGTCGTGCATTGAATAACACGTAAATATAAACGTACAAAAAGATCTTGAATGTTGCGTAATGAAGGGTACAGTGTTATCGCGGATAAACATACATGTGTCACGTCGTGTTTGTTGTTTGTGCGTCAATCTTTTTCTGGCTGTGCGTCTCATCACCTTCTCCACCTCATTGTCATCGATGGACCATTTCTTCCTGCTGCTTCCACCGACGTCGCTTGAGTGGTCTCGACACCTAAGGCAACAATTTGTAGTCATGCCCAGAAGGACACGGATGATCGGTTATTCTACAAATATAAGCACAATGTCCAGCATTGAGGGCTTGGCCGGTCATTTATCAATGGTATAAAGACCAGACCATATCATTGCAGGACTTTTCATGTGGTCCCTTCATTTGGAATGAAACAAAAAAAAAAAAGATAAAAGGCGGGAAAAATCATTGTTACACTTGAACAGATGACTCTCAATATGGGATAAAAAGCACTCCAGAACCACTGTGCATAAAGTCTACTGCGAAGAAATGAACCAACCTGAGGGCATGTGAGGTTCTGTGTTGCGTACAGTTGCCTTGAGTGGAATTAGTTCCAGAAAGGGGCTTCGCCATGCGACTCTCCCCTATGTGTGCTGGCGTGGTGGACTTGATGGACTGCGAAGCCTGGCTAGAATCACTATGAAGAACACAAGTTTAAAGTCACATCTAGTAGAAAGTGCAATAGCATTTTTGAACCAAAATCGAGATCTCTCCCCCCCCACACACACACACACTGCAACTCATGTCAAAGGTCAATAAAAGCGCAGGAAATGTGAGCACAAACACTCAAGAGACGACAGCGCCCAAATCAATCCGTGCATGTCAACCTTGACGCACATGAGTGATTCCACACCAAACCATGCAGGGGCCAAGACAGAGTAGGCTACCTCTTCATATGTAACCGAACACATTAGCAGCCAGGCCTGAAATTAAAATACACGAAATAATGTTTGATGTCTTTGCAAAAAAGGGCTCGGTCAGCAAAAGCATTTCATGAGCTGTCAAGACTGATCTACAAACAAATGGTTTCAAAAGTCCTGCGTCTAAATGTCCGGAGGGATGCTTTGTTTGCGCAGCCGTTCGTTGTTGTCATGGCAGCTGCTGCGTCACACACTCACTTGCAAGTCACCACCTGACTGGACCTCTGCGTTTTAAAAGAGTCGCCATGGTGACGACGGACAGTGGAGCAGGAGGAGCTTGGGGAGGAACAGGGGAGGGTTTCTTCATACTGATCACTTTGTATGTCTTCAGACACAGGATGGGCTGGGGGAGACAAAAGTCAGCAAGGAGTCTTAATTCATGGTTAAAATTAATGATTGAAATAAAATATTTGAAAGTTAGACATTTTTGTGACTGGTGTAAATCATGCACAGCGCACGGCGTAACTCCGCACAGAGGCAGGTTAGACCCGATGTTAAGAGTATCACGGACGAGTGCAGGCCAGAGGACCTGTGAGCGGGAGGGCTGCGCTGACGTGGGTGTCTGCCAAATTGGGAATTGCGCGTGGCGACACAAAAATCAGATTTGCTGTCCACAAAAACAGAGGCCAGAAGAAACTGACTGGCAACTCACTTATTTCACTGTCGGTCCTGATTGAGTCTGTCTGATGGACCCGCTGCCTTTGGGTGCGCTCCCCCGGACAGGATCCCCTCATCGCCTGTTGGAAATATTCACTGGGTTTGCGTGACGTGCGCCTGTGCGACTGCGAGGAGTCACCAGATGGTGTGGCGGTTCGGATGGTCTGAGGCTTCACTGAGCTGACTTCTGCAGGCCCTGAAACACTGGCGCACCAGGAAGCAAATGAGGACAGACAAAAAGAGCAATGAAAAGAACAGAAGGAGGATTTATTGTCAGCGTTGGAATCAAGAGACAACTGAGGGAAACACCATCGGAAAAGAAGTCAACGCTATGTGTGTCATGACATTTATGTTGTGAAAAGTACACCGTATCTTTGCTGCGAGAGAGTCAAGGCGCCCTACTCACCGCTTTGAGGCTCTCTGCTGGCAAGGGTCGTGAGTTGCGGCCGAAATCTGATGACTGCACTCAGAACCAACAAAGCCGCTATCGGTTCCTGGAGAAATGCCTCCGTCCTGGCTCAACACAGCACACGTCATTTAACTACGACACGCGCACATACGACTCAACTCAATTTTCTGTCGGCCTTCACAACTTAGTCAAAATGGTCAAAAATGGCCGCCACCGGCCAGCTCTCCCAATTTGAGAGAAACAGCCGGCATTAAATGAATGAGGTCGGCGGGTCCCTGCTGACCTGAGAAAGCACTCTCCTCATCCCGGTTTGAAGATCGGCGCTTCTCTTCTCTAATGCGCTGATTTCTGCCAGACTGCACTGACTGCTGCTGCAGGACTTCCGAACCTCCTTCCTCCTCCTGCTCGCAGGAGTTGGTGTGAGATGCACGGTTGGACTCCTGCATCAACGCAACACGGTGCAACGTGAAACAGAAGACAAAGCATAAAATAACAAATTTGTTTGTGCTTACTGATCAACGTCTGTGACTTGTTCATCGCATCCTTTCTTGTGGGAAGAATTCAGGTTGCCCGGCCCAACTTCCTTGTTGGTCAGCTTGACTGAATCAAGCGACAAAGGTGTATGTTGACTCTGGGAGGAGGGACAAAAATATTTTTTAAATGCCTTGACGTTTGAAGATCGGCGCTTCTCTTCTCTAATGCGCTGATTTCTGCCAGACTGCACTGACTGCTGCTGCAGGACTTCCGAACCTCCTTCCTCCTCCTGCTCGCAGGAGTTGGTGTGAGATGCACGGTTGGACTCCTGCATCAACGCAACACGGTGCAACGTGAAACAGAAGACAAAGCATAAAATAACAAATTTGTTTGTGCTTACTGATCAACGTCTGTGACTTGTTCATCGCATCCTTTCTTGTGGGAAGAATTCAGGTTGCCCGGCCCAACTTCCTTGTTGGTCAGCTTGACTGAATCAAGCGACAAAGGTGTATGTTGACTCTGGGAGGAGGGACAAAAATATTTTTTAAATGCCTTGACGAAGATAATAATGCTAAATTTTGATTACAACTGATGGAGGTGTATTAAGATAAGGCAAGTTTATTTGTCCAGTGAGCCCTCGTTCCGTGAGACGCACGGTTGGACTCCTGCATCAACGCAACACGGTGCAAGGTGAAACAGAAGACAAAGCATAAAACAACACATTTGTTTGTGCTTACTGATCAACGTCTGTGGCCTGTTCATCACATTTTTTCTTGTGGGAAGAATTCAGGTTGCCCGGCCCAACTTCCTTGTTGGTCAGCTTGACTGAATCAAGTGACAAAGGTGTATGTTGACTCTGGAAGTAGGGACAAACATTTTTTTTAAAATGCCCCGATGAAGATAATAATGCTAAATTTTGATTACAACTGATGGAGGTGTATTAAGATAAGGCAAGTTTATTTGTCCAGTGAGCCCTCGTTCATCGCGGCGGTTACGCCCCAAAAAGAACCCGCGATAGGCAAAATCCGCGAGGTAGTCCGTGTAACGGCTTCTAAAGGTTTTCTAGAAAGACTTGACGAGTCGACCAATGCTCAACAGCATCCATCGCTGACGAACACCATTTCTTGGTGAAAAAAAAATCTACAATTGCACAATGTACAACTTAAACCCACAATAGACATGACCACATACCATTTCGCCTTCTAAACAGGAATTTACGAGTTAATTAGAAGAAACTGAAGCCACCCACGCTTCCGTCTCTTTCCTCAAACTGACGTAAACGTCTTCCTAATCAACACAAACCACTTCCTGCCACTCAAAGCAACCCTCAAATGTAACAGCAGGGGGCACAATAACCTAAATAAATATGGCGTCTTGAGTAAATAACATGTCACAAATACAGTAGCTGTTCCAACTAAACTCACATCAAAAAGAGTGAGACGGCGCAGGCCAGAAAAAAAAAAACGACTCTAGTCGAGACAAGAGACGGGCGACGTTACCTCAGCGCGAGAATCGTCACATGCAGGGGATTTTTGGGCTTCAGGTGAAAGAGAGCGAGCAGAATCAGCAGCGCGGGAATTCCGATCCACCCTCTCTTTCAGCTCATCCATATGCTGCCCACATTGGTAAATGAACTCCTCCAGCTCCCTAACACGCAGAAGCGACGCGAACATGTAAAAATTGACAAAAAGTCCTGAAAAATGGAACCCAGTCCTCCTACCGATCGGGGTCAAAGTGGCTGTGCTCTGCCCCTTGCTGCTGTTGGACTTTGTGTTCTTTCCTGGCTGCCAGGTAGCCCTTTTCCAAAGAGTCCAGTCCTTGATAAAGTTGTGTAAGTCCCTACACAGAAGGGTCGGTTGATGAGTGGGAATATGTGCAAGCCGGCAATTTTGTCAAAGGATTCCAAATAATTCGCTTCACCTTCACCTGTTGGAAAGGCATTTTGCTCTTCAGAAATTCCTCAAAATGTTGGAGCTGGGGGGGAAAAAAAAAAAAAAAAAACGCCACATTATGAAATGAACCCCCCCTCACGCATTAGACATCAGAATAACATATGAGAAGTCGACGACCTGCTGGAGGAACTTGTCGGCTTGTGCGAAGAGCGCATTTGCCACCTTGCGATTGCCTTGGGACTCCAAACTCTTTGAAATGGAGGAAGATAAACATAGGGTGGAGGAAGCTCCTGTTCGAGGGAAGGAATACATTCTTCGTGTTAAAGTTCATTATCCGTGAGATAAGGGTCAAAAAATGCCTCGTCTTGAAATGCCGGGTTCATCTGTATGTATTGTTTTTTTTAAGCATCGCCAAAACCACACTCGCAATCATTGCATGAGTGTGATATCCTGCGTCAGAGCAGAAGTGAGGATGATGACGAATTTACTGATGTGTGTGCTGGGTCCACTCGGCTGAGGAGAAACGGCGCTGGGCTGCGCTTTCTGAGCTTGAGGAAAGTCCAGCCGCATGAACTTTGAAGGCTCCGCGTGTTGTCCCAGTGGCACGACGTGAGCGGGCATTTGCTGCTCAGAGTATAGGTTCACCTTGTGGGAAATGGAAAGGAAACCAAACGGTGTCACTCCCCGTGGCAAAATCGTGTAGCCGACCTCACATCCACGACAGTTTCCTTCGCGACTAACATAACCCGGTCGGTCAAAGGAGAACGCATTTATCAGTGCTTCATTTTCCTCATTCCTCTCATGGATTGGTGCCGATTAGAAAGTGGCTCATTGAAAACCACACAGTTTTTTTTCCTTGCTGCTCTGTCTCTCGAGTTAGTAAGCTAGTACAGGGCTCCCTTCACTGCGGTTAACGCTAATTGTGACATATGGCGCTGAAAATCAATGACGACACCCCAACGGAGTTGTTACAAATCCTTGAGCTGCTTTCCCAGATCAATGTTTTTTTTTTCCTCTTTTCATTTACTCGTGACAGAGTTGCAACGAGCAACTCTTTTCTTTCTTTTTTTTGTAACACCCGATGAAATGAAAGCAGTCAATGAAAGTCACCAATTTGAACAGCGGTTCAAGATGATCAAACCTTGGCTTCCAGCCGCAGCCGATCAATTGTGTTCGCCGCTTCGGCGTACTTCGTCAGCAGTCTGCCATGGTCCTCCTTCCAGCCAGAGAAGAGAGAACGTGGAGGAAAAAAAAGAGAAAAAGAAGTAAATAAATACATATACAGATGATGATTTTGTGATGTAAATATAAAATGACAGAGATGGAAAATGTCCTAACGGGGGTGCGTGTTTTAAAAGTATGCGTGAGGAGAAGGGAAAGAAACTGGTCAGAGAAACGAAGACGATGCCTTGGCTAAGAGTAACATTCTTTGAAGGTGCCGCATGAATGAGTGGGCGACAACCTCCCGTACTTTTCATTTATCCTAGCAACGGGATGGGGCGTAAATTAAATGGCTTCTCTGAGAAAAGGCGTCCGTTTTCCCCAGCTGTACCTGGAGCTGATCGAGCAGGATATCGGCCTTCTGGTGGGACCGGAACTCCTGAGGCACGGTGCCGGCGGATGTTCTTTTGTTCAAGTCTAATGGTGGCTGAGGTCCGTCCGTCGTGTTCAGCAGAACTTCTTTGACAATGTCAGCAGGAGATTTAAAGACAACGGGGGCCTCTGGCGTCAGGGACTTGGGAGGATTCTTGGAAGACCATCTGCTCTTGGGAGGCTTGTAATCCCCTTTCGGGAAAGACACCCTCGGCTTGACTTTGGACAAATCTGGAACCCAGTGACTTGGGTAGCCTTTTCTGGAACAACAACAGGGTTAATCATTAAAAGACAACAAGCAAAGTGCAGAAAAGAGAATCGCTGCGGTACAAGAAGGATTCCAAATGATTCATGGACGGTGGCACCTTGAGATGCAAGTTGAATTTGTCGCGTGGTTGCGCTAATAAATCAAAAGACTCTCATCTCACTTCAACCTAGATGCTAATTAGCATTTGCCAGCGTACTGAAAGACAAAGCTATGTGGTTGTTTCAAATACACCAGTGTCAGTGTCTTTGATTTATGTTGGTAGTAACATAAAACTTCCACTCTAAACAGCTTGAAGCCTTTTTTGGATCGTTTACTATTTTCCAAACCGCTGCTTGGTATAAAGTGTGCTGACTTCACAGTCTGTCGCCAAACAAAAATATAACACAAGTAGTATTTTTTATTGGGGGGCGGGTGGGGGGATTAAAACACAAATACAAGTTGGAGCAAGTATATGATAAATTATTGACATTTATGGGACAATGTTAGCTAGCACAACAAAGTCAAAAAGTTGTTTGCTCCAAAACAATTGGTAGAGGTGTTCCAAAGGACAATTTGTTCAGTCAAGTCTCATTTCTTTGTTGAATATGCGGAGAAGTCATTTTATACATTAGCTAATCGTAAAATATTTGGTTGAAATGTCCCAATTTAAAATGTTATTTCGACAAATCATCTCAAGGCACCGCTGTCGTTGAATTACCTGGATTCGTCCGCTCTCCTGGGAGTGTGACGGCAATCTTCCTTTGGTTTGTTGTGAGAACTGGTCCGTGGAAGTGCAGCCTCATGACAGGGCTGTGACCTTGGCCCCGGTGAGGGAGAGGGTTTTTTAAGACCAGTCTGTGAATTCTCACTGCTCTGTGGTTGAGGAGAGAGAACATCTTCTTGGTCTTCTTCTTCTTCAGAGCTTTCTTGGTGGTGAAGGCTGGACACGCAGCTCATGAGGCTGTGAGTGTCTGGAAAGTCCGTAAAGCACATGTCTGGAACAGTTTCACTAGCGATCCCTGGAGCAGCGGCCATTTCCTCCAAAGTAAAACGGCACAGGTGAGAGAACACGGGAAGAGTTGGACGGGAAGAAGCCTGCTGCGTTGGACACTGAGGTTTGCAATCTCCATTGGCTTCCACCATCAAGGACGGAGACTCACAAAATTGGCGCTTACTGCTCCTTTCTGACTCTTTGCTATTGTTGACTGGTCCGTTTCGCAAAGCCCACTCACCTTCTGTTCCATCTCTCTCCCCCTGAGCCGTGTCCGAGTGTGAGTCCCGCTGGGAGAAATACTCTGTCTTCTGTCCTTTTGGTGTCTCCCTCTCGTTTGCCTTGGCCTGATTATGTCCTCGTTCTTTTAAGACGCAAACGTCATCACAGACTATTAAAAAAACAAAAAAAATGCAGTCGAAGAAAATGCTGTTAAGTTTCGCAAGTATTGCAGTTTTCAATACAATGATCAACGCTAAAACAATAAATACAGTCGTATTATTTAGGCCGATATTGAAAGCTGCCTCAAATACATTCATGTACAGTCAGCTGAAGTCTCCTCGACAATAAAAATAACACTTATTATTATTGAAACAATTCATGCACACAGAATAAGAGAAGAGAATTTTTTCATATCGTGCATCACAAATAAATAGTCTTAAACAATATGAGTGTGTTTCTGTGTGTGTGCGCGTGCGTGTAAATGTAAATATATACTGTAGCAAAGTATCAGTTATGTTTGCACATGTTACAGGTGTTTAATGACTCACAGGGTGACAGTACATCCTCATCTTCAAGACGTTCATCGAGGGTGGAGCAGAGTTCATCAGGTGGCATATCTGGTACCACACAGACAGCAAGACCTTCTGGGATGGCGTGTCCAGGAGATGAGGTTCCGTTACATTCTGCATTGTCATCATGTTCCCGCGGGTCATCCACGAGCGTCAATCCAATGATGCCATTCTCATCCATCTGACCGTAAAAGTCGTCATCTTGTTCTTCCTCCTCATCCCACGCATCTTCCGACGTTTCAGAGGTGGCGGGTGAGACGCACGTCGGAGCAGGAGTCCAAGAGAGGACGCCCGTTTTGGTGTTCTTGACTGTCTCCATTCACTTGCCGGTTTTTGGTGACTCAACTCTGAGGTGAGGAAATGTTGCAGGCTTGCTCTCGCGGTCCCATCCGTGAGCTGCTTGAAGTCAAGTTGTCCCGGGGAAGTCTTTGAATGCAGCTCCTGAAATGTGACAAAACACTGTTCAACAAATAACGCATAAAAGCACTTCAGAAATGAACTTGAGGCCCATTTTAGTGACTTCAATTTATTTTTGTGGGTCTGACTCAGGAAATGTTTTCATTAGCCAATAGGGCTGTTCCTATTGGGCCATAAAAACTTGACGGCATCGATTCTAACTCTTGAATCACATCAGTTGAAAAGTAACAAAACAAAATAGTCACTTTTTAAAAGTGAAAATTGAACAAAACATGCCCATGCAGTTTACACATTTTCGATCCCATGGCATTCATCTTTTTGTTGATGAACTAGAGAACTCTGCTGTGACAACACATGGCCAGGCAACTATGCAATGTGACCGTGAAAAAACGCTCCTACAAGCTGAATGTTATTTGTTTTGTGACATTTAATATAGAACTGATGGAAAAGAAATGGGAATTTTTAAATAGCAAGCGTTTGTGCCCCACGGGCAGTGGACTTGAAGCTGCAAACACATCCAATACCACCACTCTGTTGAACTGGAAAAAAAAAAAAAAACACATAAGGCAACAGTCCCTGAAAAAATACGCTCTCAATTGGCCGCACTGCTTCTTCAGTAGCCCAGATTAACACAAGGAGATTGTTATCTTGGTGCAGCTGGCATTCTCTCTAGCATTCTCGACACAACTATTCCACCCATGTGGTCATGGTGGAGTACTCGCCCAACGGACCTTCACGTTGGCTAACATGCCAAACATTTTTTCACAGTGCCATTTTAGAGACCGCAAAAGAATGAGTAGAGACGGTTCAGCGGCTGAACCAACGCAGGACACGTTTAGAAAGGAATGAGGAGAAACTCAAGTGAGGAAACCACAAAATACCGTCGGCAGGTGTCCAAATATGGCTTGGGAGTAAATTCAGAAAAGACTATGCGGAGACAGAAAATAAATAAACGCACCTGTTTTCCTGGACATGCTACAATCAACTGAGGATTTTCCTCCGTGACCGTAGCGCGGGGGGATTAATCTGCATTTAACCCCTTACTGGTGGACTTCGCAGACGCTCACTGATCAGTAAGTGACTATCTCAGGACAGGAAACGCGTAAGCAGATTGGTGCACAGCAAGTAAAAAAAAAACTAAAACAAACTAAAGGGCACCAGCTGAAAAAACGGAATCGGCTCAACTGTTAACACTACTTGAGCAGTCCCCAAATAAGTCTTAGGAGCCAAAAGAAACTGTCTGCAGGATATTTTACAGACCGACTTCCAAACGCAGCGAAGCCAAGCATTGCTGTGAACATGAATAGTAACACAAAAACCACAGTGAGATGTTTGGGAGGACATGATCTGATCCAGCCTCCACAACGCATGAGGGAGTCTTAGAAATAAGCTCCGCGTTCATCTCAACTTCTGCACTTCCTTGCTGTAATAGACACTGTGTCCTAACTAGATACATTCCTTTTCATCACCATCAAACTAATGGCGTTGCGGTTGAAAAGTATCTCCCCCATTGTGCGCCTTGAGCGCAGAACAGAGAGAGACAGTGAAAAAAATGCACTATTGGTATATAAAAAGTATAGTGTATTAACCATTTGTTTGGTTGGCAACTCTATGTATTAAAATAGACGGAAAGCATGCATATCTGTCATGCTCTGTTTGTCAATGTTGGAAAATGAGTGGAGCGTCTTGTTAGGATTGGGGAGGGGGCACAGCGGTTATATTCCATGGTTTGCCCCGGGACCCGTGACTTAGGAGCGGCCCTGTCTATCTCACTGTAAGGCACACTCACATCATGCTCATCTTGCCGGGGGGGGGGGAAACTATTCGCGTTACTTACAATTTAGCGCTTTACCAATCCGAGTCGGTTGAGTCCAGAAAGACTTGCTCAACAACAATTGTCGAGAAATACCGACCCGCCTGGCTGCTGCTGATCTGAGAGACCAACCGAGCACGGACTTAACATCGTACCTGAAGACAAAATATTTTGGGCGACAAATACTCAGTAAATTGAAGATACAAAAGGAGTTATCTCTACCTGAATATAAAAACGTTCGCGGGCAGGATGGCCAAGAATTCAACAGGGTCCGTTGCCATGAACACCACTAAACTGAAAGCAAAGACCCGCCCCTATGTCACCATGACACGCATTCGGCACAACAAACCATGCAAGTCAACTCGTTTCAACTCAGCCCGAAACGTCAAACTAGAAAATAAGCAGATTTACTTTATAGTGCAAATGATCATTTCTACACAGGTACAGACAACGGAGACACGAGGTGGAGTCTTTACGTCTTACAAAGTCACTCCTGACATATTTTGCCAGCACGTGTACACTCCTTGAAAACGACTTTGAATAAACAATGTTCGTACCTTACTTTGGAACATGTTTCACTGGTAGTTTCTGTCGAAGTAGCCCGTTTTGTAAAAATTTAAGACGTTGTAAGTTGTAAACATTGATGAGCATGCTTGCAGAGGGGGGTCACCTACGTAACTTTTGCCAAAAGCCGTTCATTTTGTATACCCTGAGTTTTGTCTCTCAGACGGATGAGCCGCAATGCCTTTCTCAGATCATGACTGTAACAAAGCAGCTCCCCAACCTCGTCACCGTTTATGCTATAGGTGACTGTAGCAATCTAATGTCTACTACATAAATATTAGGTTTATGTAAAGTAAAGTGTGTTTGTTCAAGAATGGAGCCCTAACAGACAAAGTTTAGGATAAATCAAGGGTTATACTCGAATTACCTTGAAGGAGGAGCTTCGTGGAAGATTGACATGGACTACTCGACACGTGACTTGCTGTTAAAAGATTTGCCCACACGGGGACACTATCAACTCGTTTTGTCCCCCGGCTGCATTACATTCATTTCTTTCCGTGTATTTACTTGGCCTTTGATTACTTTAATACGAGTGATGTGAAACATACGTGTTATAAAGTTCCCCACATGCTGCCATGAAAAAAATACACAACAAAACAAAACAAAACTGAATGCCATATCGAGTGTGATGTCAAGCGGTAGCGGTTGCTGGGTGATTTGAACATAATTGTGAATTAATTCATTTTTGGTGATCCATTAATTTTTACTCAGAATGAGCGAAAAAAAATCTTTATGTTCTGGAAGAAAAAAAGGATTTCAGAATGGTCTCAAGCTGAATTGTGTCTGTTTGCCAGACTCAACTGTCATTTGGTGTACATGTGTGAAAGGCAAGACGCCTAGGTTATATCGAAGCAATTGGCTGCTCGTTCACCCGCAGAAAAAAAAATTGAATCTGAGCAAGCCTTTTGGATGAAACATGAATATCTTCAACAAATGAGAAAACCCCTCAAAAACACGCAATTGTTTTTGCGACGGTACTTGGTGTAAAGGGTTCGAGAACCAGCGCCATACAGTATTAGATTGGACACATTTTTAGAAAATGATAAATTTAAAAATCCCGTCATTATCCAGATTCACCCAACTGATTAGTATTCCACAATTTACTTGTGCTATGTTTTTACAGCAGATTGACTTTCAAACAAAAAACACAAAATGAGCCAACCTCTCTGCATCCTTAAAATCACGGCTGACAATTTTGTGCGATTATCTTTATTGAAAAATTAAACACACTTTCTGTATAAATAGCTTTGTATAACCATCCTTGTTCAAATGTGCTGGGAGCAGGCAAACAACAGGAGGACTGTGACAGATGAGAAAGAAAAGCAAAGAGAACAACAACAACAAAAAAAGGCAGATGTAGAGCATCCCAAGGTGGAAGCTAATCAAGAAACAAAGCTAACTGTGGCTAATAGGCGAGGAGGCACAACTCAGTGAAACAGATAAGCCCGATTTAACAAGGAAGTTGGGAGTGAGGGAGCATCTGTCGCAGGGTGCCTGTTGCTGGAGTCGATGCCACCGAGTGAAGGCCGGACCGCCATCATGGTGGCGTCTGATTAATGAGACTGTCTGAAGCTGCCATTGCTTCCTCCAGCGTCTCTCCCTCCCCGCCGGATTTTTAATAGCAGGTCAATGAGGTCCTACTGCTATTGACGCATTTAGAAAAGATTTCGGCGGTATCGGACGCATATCTTTAACCGCTATTTGGTGAGCTGTGAATTAACTATTAATTAAGTTGACAGAACGACAGAAAAAAACCAACTATTGTTATGGCCGATTCTTGTCATGTACAACATTTCATTTTTCACACTTGCTTTTCTCGAAGTTGGATTTTTCATTGGTCTACAATTCACACGAGCGGCGTCAAGCCAGCAGCTGAACATTTCAGGACAACCAAGTCCGGTCCGGTTTGCTTGACTGGAATGAGAATCCCATGCCGCATGCTCGCATGGTTCACTTCCCTGGTCTCAGAATGCTGATCCTGGACAAGGTTGCTTATACGCAAATGCATACACACTTGCTCAACATGTTGGACATGTTGCGTTGTCGCTTAGATTGTTCCTCCCGCAAATTACTAATGATAAGGGTCCCATTTTGCAGAATCATCTACGTAACCCAACCCGTATGTGAACAACTGATTCACAGCCTAATTTTCTCCAGGTCAGACGACCGCAACACACTCCTCTCGGGTATTACCGGTAATCAAAACTCCCTCTCTCACCTCAAACTGGTTCAGAATGCGGCAACTTGGATTCTCGCTTATTCAAAGAGGTGGAAGCACATCACCCCAATTTGAGCTTCATTTCATTGGCTCCAAGTTTGCTTTAGAATTGATTTGAAGATTCGACTGATTACTTTCAAAGCACAAATGGGCTTGGAGCCACTGAGCTGAACTTTGAACCATCCCAGATGCTCAAGGCTAAAAAAAACAAAGGTGATGGCGCATTTTCCATCGGGGCGGAGTCACTCATTCGTCGAGAACGACCATAACATCTTGTTTACGCTTTCCAGAAGCGTGCTCCCACTTTCACCCAATCTCTCGAACGCTACCGTATATCTCTTTGCAAGTGTTGTCCTCTTCTGACTCCGCCGCCTCCTGAGTTGAAGCGCTGGCCATGGCTTCCTCCTGCTCCCTGGGGAGTTTAATTAGTCTGCTTACTTGGAAATTACCAAATGGAAACGGTCTCGTAGAAGGAGCAGCGGGAAGAACACCGAGTGGTCTAAGTGAAACACCCTTGAGATTTGATCCGTCACTAAGAGCGGGTCCACTTCCAGGCGTTCTTATGCATCTTCATTATACGCTGCCCTGTCATGCGCTTACGCCGTCAGCATGATGGATGACGTCCTTTCATTTGCGCATCGTGGCACCGGTGTCTGAAAACAACATTAGAACTCGCAATCGGGAGGGATTCTTCGTCTGGCTGGACTGAAAGAGAGCAGCAGATGGTTCTCGAAACGGAAAAACCATGACGCAGCGCTTTGCACTTTCGCCTCCCAACGAGATTGAAAACCTGCCGGCTGCCCGGTGGAGTTTGCATGCTCTCCCTGTGCTTGTCGGGGTTCTTTTGAGCTCCCTGCCACAATGACCATTCATTGGACACTGAAATGAAGACAATGGACAACACTGATCCGACAGATGTGAGCTGCTCCGATCCATATATACAAATATATACTTTTTAAAATATATGTGTAGGCGTTGATGTAACTGTCCACGGGTTTAGATTTCACATCGAGATCTCATAGTGTGTACCGTATATAGAGTATATACATCTATATTAATTCATCTGTACATATATAAATTCAAACGAGGAAAGCCCAGTCGTCTTTTCGGGCGCGGTCGCCAAAAACTAACGAAATGAACCGACCGCTGTAACTTGGACAACCGCGAGGAGTCCCGGTAGATTTCAAACGGAGGCCAATCCGTCCGTTTCGATATCCAGACAGCAATATCGAGGTTATATAGGCTCTGCTATGATCTACCGTAGTGCATAAGGTCTCGCAACGGAGAGGTAACATGTTGGAAAGAATGGAGAACATATCCGTGGTAGGAATGAGGTTGCGTCACAAGATGAGGTGGACTTTGCGTTGAGTCCACCGCTCTAGTGTTGTGCCATTTGAAACTGAAAATGTCCTCCTCCCCTTTTGTCCTTTAATTCTCGCTCGTCTCTCTCTCTCTCTCTCTCTCTCACCCGTGGCGCTCAGCTATAGTGCTACATTGAACTCAGTCACCAGAAAGTCCACAAAGTCCTTCTCTTTGGTCTTGAAGGCCTCAGCGATGAGGCGGGCGGCGTCCTTGTGCTCGCGGCCCCTCAGCGAAACCCCATTCACCTCCAGGATCACCTGACCCACCTTCAGCTGACCACAGTTGTGAGCCGAACCGCCTCGCTTGGAAAGAAGAGAAAGACAAACACAAGGTTAGTTTAAATAAATAAGTACAATGATCCTATAGCAGCATATACACCTGGGGCATCCAAATTCAGGACCCCCCCCAGTTTTGGAACCACTGATCTCAATGACACATGAAGTCATTTGCAGGCCCTCACGTCCCAGTTTGCACTTGGCGGGCTTGACCGCAGCCTGTATTTGTCGCATCTTTTCTGAGTCGAGCGCGAAAAGGCAGTGGCATTGGGATTTGTTCCTGTCAGGTTTGGCAGGGCCAAGTCACGCAAATTTGCATTTTGATGATACGTTTAAGCACGCCGTGCCAAACTGTGGATGGAGTCGCTCCAAAGTAGGGCAAAAGCAGACCGAAGCCATCTGCAAGTGGGCATTTTTTCCCCCCCCCATTCTATGGCAGCCACCTTTTGATCGCTTGACGCGTCGCATTCGACTACATTAAGTGTCAGACTCACATTTGTTGGGGGATTGGGGTGGGGGGGGGGGGGGGAAGAGAAAGGCCTTTTGAAAGTGACACTTTCTCGGTGTTGTATTACAGAGCTGTCGCGATTGAATATTTGTTGAATCGAACAGCAGCAAAACGATGTCGCAATATCGCGCAAGAGGCATTTACAAACAGAACAGCTGACGACGTTCAGAATGCAAGAGACAAACAAAAGTGCCTTCACCAAAAATACGAAAAGAATGTAACAACACGGCTGTGACTTCAGAATGCTTCATTCTTAAAGTATCTCCTTTGTATCGAGAGTCTGCGCTGGCAGCGGTTGCTCGACGTCAGTCATCATGATGGGAAGTCAGCAGTGATAACGGGCGCTTCGAGCGATTTGGAAAGATAACGGCTGTGGCCAGGGAGCCGAAGGTGCGCTTATATCAACTTGACTGCGTTCTACAACAGGGACAGAATAATATAGTGCGTCGTGGCTGGGAGTGGAGGCCATCATCTGTCCCTCAAATACAAGCGATGCCCCTCGGACAGCCGGAAAGTAAAGGAATGTTTTCTTCCCTTTCTGCCGTTGCCTTCCCCAAAGTTAATTTATCACGCCGATGCTCAGTCTGGACTGGGGCAAACAATGAGGTTGTGTGCCTTGCTCAAGGGCCTAATAACACAGACTTACCTCTCCCTAGCTGAGAGTTTTCAAAGCTCGTTTTTCCACCTCGGAGACATCCGGTCTCCCTACTCGGCTGTGAAGCGTGACCTCAAGGCCGCCGTGTTAGTCGCGGCTTCAAATGACAATGAAGCCGCTGCGCTGTGATTGATCGGCGACGTGAGCGCGGTTGCGACATGAATAAGGTTGCCTCGGAAGCCGGTTGTTCAGTGGAAATCGGAACACTTCTCGCTTCACTTGATTTAAGAGCGTAAATGAGCAGATCCAAACAAATGGACCGGTGTCTTCATAAATTAGCACCCTGTAAATGTTGCACACATTTTTATGCCAGGGTGAGATTTGAGAGGAGCTGAGAAATATTCTCTGGTGTAAACAGTGCGAATCGACATTTTCAAGTCCGAGACAATGACAAAGCAAAGAGAAGCAAAGGTGTCTCGTCGCTTCACTTGATTTAAGAGCGTAAATGAGCAGATCCAAACAAATGGACCGGTGTCTTCATAAATTAGCACCCTGTAAATGTTGCACACATTTTTATGCCAGGGTGAGATTTGAGAGGAGCTGAGAAATATTCTCTGGCGTAAACATTGCAAAGAGAAGCAAAGGTGTCTCACTGACATCAAATGTGGCGCAATAGTGGATGCATGCCACAGCATGCGCAAACAACCCGCACAAATGACCAGACCTCTGTTTCTCCATCGGCTCAAATCCTGCACCTCGTATGACCGCCACACTCCCTCGTTTCTTCTACCGTAGCCTTCCCACATTTTTGAAAGTGCTGATTTCCAATCCTTTCATCCATCCCGTTGCAATCAGTATCCCTTTTTTTATTTCAATCACCAGCTCACTCGGAAGAAGTTGAGAGACGGCACTAAAGACTTGCGGACGGCTGCCTGAGACGGCTTCGGTCTTTAAAACGTAACGCCGTGTCAGAAAAGGTTGAGCACGATAGTCGCGAGCAAAGGACCTTGTGATGAATAAAATGAAATGGCTCTGTTGTCTATAAGCAAAAAGATACATGCTGACTACGGCACAGCTAATAGTTTTCAATATGTCACACTGAGAGAGGAACACTGGGAAAAACTCCAATGTGAAAATCACACAACGATCCGATGCCGAGTGGTCGGCGAGGCAGGTCGTTGAACGGAAAAAGCGAATGACATGATGACCAACAGGTGCGACGCCGAAGGAGAAGCCCTCCGATGCCACCTGTTGGTCACAAACGGAACAGAAGCGCCGTGCATGATTCCCACTCACCTGTATGGTGACAATTCGTGGCAATGGCTGTCGAGTGTTGGCTCCTCCTTCAATCGCGATGCCCAAAGTGCTCGCACTCTTGGCCACCCTCACTAGAGTGGAGGTGGGCTCCAACAGCCCCGGCTAAAGTCAGGGAAGGAGAATATTCATGACCACGTTGCAAAAAGACGTTGTCGCATATGCTTTGACGCCTGCGGGAGAGTTGAGTTTTGACAAATGATGACTGCCTGACTTTGTTTATTGCTGATCGTATTTTGAAATAGCCTTCTGATAGCCTGCGCGGCTTTCTAATAACTTTCCCATGATCACCAACAAAGCTTCCCCATTTCTGACCTTGCACAACGAACGTCCCTCTCCAGTCTTTTTTTATTTTTTTTTTTTACGACAGTGGTGGATGACGTAAGAGATGGACGTGAATAAAAAACATTGACGGGGGAATTCAAAAACATAAATGCAAAACGAAAGTAAACAGTGAGCAAAAAACAGAGGGAAGATGTTCCGCGTGGAGTGATACGTCTACATTTATGAGAACCAACATTGAGAAAATATGCCCCCCCCAGTGCCCCTTTGCATCTAATTGGAACATTAAATCTTAAATAGCCTCAGAAAGCACTCCTAAAAAGTTTATATCACATTTGAGTCCGGAGGGGAGGCAAAATGATTGAATTAGCACGCAGCGGTTGTCACACGACACCAATCGTTTAATTCCATGAAGCCGATTGAACATTTGAAGTGGCAGAATGCCTGCGGAAATATCGCCATTGGTTTTCATCGCAGCGGTGGACTGCAGAGCAACAAAAGCCCTTTGCTTGTTCTTAAAATAGCCCCGTGCGAGTGCTACAGAGGCCCGGAGCTTCCATCTATGACGTTCCACGCACATCAATGAGGCGAGGGTGGCAGAGGAGCCTCGGTCGAACATCACAGGGCTGTTATTTTTAGGCTGCACCTTTTTTTCCCCCATCGGTCGAATTGGTCCTCACAAAGGTAGACGTCAAACGGCAGATGCACTTGTTGAATCGAATTTATGCATTCCCCTCAACGATTGATACGCTCATTGATTGGCGCCGGGCCCGCAGCTGTTGGGAAGTACCCCCTCACCGGTTTGGTGGGGTTGTCCCCCCCGCCCCCCTGGGTGTCTTGAGGGTGTCGTGTGCATGAGGAGTGGGAGTTGCTGATGTGTCCTGACTCAGCTATGTCCACACCGCTGTCCTCACTGAGAGTCTGGCCACTGTCTGACAGCTGAGACAGGGCGCCACCTGGTGGGGAGGGGAGCAGGCACACGTGAGATCGGCACTCGCAAGCTCATCCGTGCGCTCATCTCAATGCTTTGATTCCGATTCGTTTAATCTTAACAGTATTCTTTTTTTTTTTTTTCCGACACCATTTGGGTGTTTGAGGAAGGCCAAAGCCGGAATCGCATCCTGCACCTGTGCACTGGGAGGCTAACGTGCTGAACCGGTCGACCACGGTGCTCCACAAAAATCTACACACAATATCCCAAAATGACATTGCAAAAAAACTGTTGTTTGATCATTTCTGCAGATTCATTAAGAATAAATAAGAAGTTAAGAAATGTTTTCTCATTTCTAATACATGTCTCGGACACGCAAATAATACTTTGTCTTGGGTGAATAAAAGAATGAATTTCGACCTTGACGAAAAAGACCCCCTTGCTGGGAGCCCAGGTGCGCTTTGTCAGGGCTTGGCTCCCGCGTCATTTCAACCGCGTCGCTGCAATGTGCCTGATTTAGTTACAAAAAGATACGACCTCCTTTCTTATTCCGTGGAGTTAATTTAGCGCACCGTATGCTCCAAACTGGCCCAGCGTGTTTTCTATGCCCTACTTTTCTCACCTCTAGCTTGGGGCAGCGGCCGCACCTCATTGACGTCGGGCTCTGCGTTGGGCCTGTGAACCTCCACCGTAACAAACTGCTGCTTAGAGCCTGGCGACGAGGCTTTGGACATTGTAGCCGGCTTAAGGGGAAGAGACGGAGGAGGAGGAGGAGGAGGAGGAGGTGCGGGGAGCGGGGGCGGAGGTGGCGGTGAAGGGCATGCGTCCGCCACTTTGGCAGCCCTGCTTGGGGACCGGACGCGTGGAAAAGGGCCAACGCTCGGTTGGGCAACCATCGACAAATGATTGGGGGTTTTCTGTTCTCTCTTGGAAGGCGCCAAGAGTTCTCTCTTTCGGATGGCCGCGTAGTCCCGGGAAGGCAACACGGGGGCTTCCCGTTTGTGATGTAGTGAGGGGGACGAAGGGGCGTGAACTGGCTTTTGGTTGCGCTTGGGGCCGGCGGGGGCTGCGAAGCGCAAGCTCGAGTGTGTGGATTCGGACGGGGGGCATTTGGTGAGCTGGTCTCTTCTACTCTTGCGCCTCTGTACCCCTGATGGGGGCGGAGGCTTGAAGGAAGGGGGGGAGTCAGCTGTGGTGGACCGTACGTCATCCTGAAGTGAGAGGATATTTTCCATCATGATAAATTAGCGATGCGGAAAGGACATGCAACGTTGCGACGGCATTTCACACTTTGCATTCTATACTTGAGTGCAATGAACAACGCTGAGACGTGAATGGCCAATAATGCATGAAGTGAGAACTTTAAAAAAAAGAAAAAAGTCACAAAGAACATTAACAAAAGAAAATAAAGCATGATTGGAGAAGCAGGCGGCTGAGAATAATGCTTGCCTAAAAGCTTTCCTCTTGTTTTTGTTTCATCCTCCTGCCGACATTAGCAAGGTAGGAGTGGAATTTTGTCACTGGCCTTTACTCACCATTTTCCGTTCAATAAATCAAGACAGGCGGGAAAAAAAAAAGATCAGCTTCAACCTTGCTTTGGTGCAAAAACTGTACAAAGCCTGCAGGTCGGATTTCATCCATTTCTACCGCCGCTTCACTTCCATCTGAAAATCTGATGGCTTCAACCCGTCCTCCCTTGCGCTACGTCCACGTTTTGCGTGTGCCGGACTGCGGGACTCACCAGAGAGACGTCAGCTAGCAGCAGCGTGTTCAGGCTGTCCAAGGGATCTTGCCGATTTGTATCCGGCGCACCGTCGTTCTAAAAGATGCAGGAGAGGAACGGACGAGTGGAAAGAAGAAATGCAGCCGTGAATCACAAAAGGCTCAGATGTCAGATGAGGTAAAACGGCACCAACAGCCTGAGAGCAGAGGCGTGCATTTATCCCGAAACAAATGCAGAATCTGACTTTCCGAGTAGTGCAAAGGTCGATGAAAAGGCATGCTTACATTTGCATATGCACGCGCACACACATATATATTTTTTTTGGGGGGGGGGGGGTGAGAGGAGGTGCCACTGTATGAAGGAAAGCAAGCCAAAGACTCAAGCACAGCAGAAAAAAAAACAAAATCACTTCAGAGCCAAAAACAGTTGCACGGGAGTATTTTGGGCAAGCCATCTCTTTGTGATCAAAATCGATTTCGACTCGTTCAGAAATGACAAGCGGGAAATAAATCAGTGGACAGTATGAGCAATCGGGCGGGGCGGTCCTCGGAGTTACAACGCGCGCGACGGCGCCATTAAAAATCCTTTTACTGGAGCGAGACGGGAAGAAAAGTGTCCAAATTGATGTTCGATTGCACCCCGTCTTTGTCAGGGAGAAAATGTTAACGGACAGAGAGGAGAGCCCGTTTGGAATATTTCTTTTTCTCCCGGTATGGAGTACACGTCTGCCCACGGGGAAGCGAACGAGCCCTTATCCCACTGTGTATCCGGCATGCGTGGGCTGCCGCTTCGCCGCTTTCCAAAGTTACTCCTACCTCCATCAGATCTATCAGCCAGAGCAGCCTTTCCTAACAGAGGGGGGGAGGGGGGCGGATTAGAAGGTGACAGCGGTGGAGGAGAAACGCATGCTCTCCAATATTGTTGCAATGCTTTGCCATTTTTTCGTAGGAAAGCAGCGAGACGCGGGGCGTTGCCCAAACGACAACTTTCAGGAAATAAATCTCTCTCTCTCTCGACGGTGCGTGGAATCACGCCTCGTGTCGTCTGCTTTACTCCGAGTCATGTTGTGATTGGGCAGCGCCACCTACCCGGGCGGAGCTCAGCGTGGTGTTGGTGGCGACGCTGGCCGAAGACGAGGTCAGAGCGTCGGGGTACGAAACCGCGGACAGAGAGTCCGGCTGGAGCGTGGGCGCTCCCGCCGCGCCCTGTCTTGCCTTGAGAGCCTGGATTTCACGGCGGAGCACCAGTCCGTCGAAGCGCTCCAAGTCCTGCGGGGCGACCAGGCCGCGCACTTCTGACAGTAGAGAGAACTGCGGGAAAATGAAGAGAGTCATACCAATGGAAAACATTCGCATGATTCATCAATAGAGTAAAGAGTGTTCCGGGGAGTGTTTTGTTTCCGTTGCGCGAACATAAACGATCTGTTCATGGTTCACGTCGTTGCTACAATGTTGAGAATCTTGATGAAGACAAGTACAGAGGCAGAGAAAAGACATTTATACAATTGATTGTGGCCCATTTTGTTGTAACTCAACATTAATTCTTCCTATGTTGTTTATTTTATTTTTTTTTTTCCCCCCCAGTTTGGAAAAACACTTGAAATTGTAAAAAGTGGCAGGCGCACAGCTTTAAATATAGTACAAGGCCTCGGAAAAAGCTTTCAGAACGCAATTTGACAAAGTGGCGTATATTTATCATACTGACCCAAAAAAAGTAGTGGAAGGACAACCAAAATAAAAAATAGAATCGCGCATCAACAACTAACCCATCTCCAGAGATTCACATTAAGAAAAACAAACAACAAACCCATTCCTGCCTCATGGCTTTCTTGTTTCTTTTCCTTTTTTTTTTTTTTTAACCTTTGTCTTTTCATCCTAATCTCTTTGGCCGCTCGTCCCTCACCTTTGCATGCGTGTTGAGCAGTTCAAAAAGCGCCATGACGAGCTGCTCCACGCCGACGTGTCCATCCCGATACTCTTCCAAGTAGTATCCCATCGTTTGCCGCTCCGACTCGGTCAGAAGGTGACGCGCTTGCTCTTCCAGCATCGCTCGGGACTGGTTCACCAGGCTCGACAAGGTCACCTGCGATCCGGCCACCCCCTTGTAAAAACCAGCCTGAAAAAAAGATACACATGCTAAGTTTTACATTCAATAGGATTTGACGGACAGGGTTGCGAGGCCAGGGCAGCCCAGAGAGGGATGACGGATGATGAACGAAGACAGAGGACGGCGGGTCGTCGCTTCATCCTAGTTGATGCTTTTCAAAAGAACGCTGTTGGTTGAAGGAAAAACAGATGAGGACAAATAGGCGTGGAAAGGGAAGAAGGCTAAAAACCGCAGGGACTCGGTAGGTGAAGGTAGAGCAGGATGGGTGGGGGGGAGGGGGCGTTCAATCGGAAACAAACGCCGCAAGCTGATTAGGGCGGTGCGTCCTTCTATTTGAATGTCCTACTTTCATCACTGGAGCATTTACATTTCGAGATAGATGCATCGATCGATTGATAGACAGACAGACAGACATATTTATGACATGACAGGGGGAGTTGTGCACAGTATCTCGTGTTTCATTGCCCACAGGGAGCGTTCGGATTTAATCACAGCGCAAGCTATAATGGCTCTCCATCAGACAGACTAATGAGAGTGCTTTGAGATTGAAAGAAGAGTGTGGATCCTCAAGTCATATTCTGTTTGCTGCTCCTTGTCGGGCCTCAACCTACCAGCGTCTCAAGCCTTCAAAAAGAAGAAAAATAAATAAATAGACAGCTGCTGTTTCTCAACACAACTTCCTTTTCCCCTCCATGCATACAGAATGAAATGATGAGCGGCAGAATCAATTTGCGGGGCGGAGCAGAATTTTAAGTTTGCCACAATTAATTAACGCGCATGGAGGAACGAGCCATTTATATGCGTTTGCTTAGAAGACAGTACAGTATATCGAACCGTGATACAAAAACCTCTCCTCATAATAAAAATGTGCAGGGACGTGATAAGACAAAGGGATTTTTTTTTTTTTTTGTAACTAAATTGCCATTTTAAATGGCTGCTTTCAGAAGCTACGGCTCGAGCAGCACAAGATCAGTGCTTCGGGCGCTCCTTTGTGCCCTTCGTCATGAGACTTGACAACAACGCTGTCGGCAGAAAAGTGAGTGACTGCGATTGAAATGAACAAAACTGAAACTATGCCAAACCCCCCCCCCCAAAAAAAATGTGTTTGGGGTTGCACTGCCAAATCTTCACTAAAAGGTTAAATTATTAAAAAAAAAAAAAAAATGAACCTTCTTTTAAACGCCGTCTTCAGACTAACAGTTCACACCCTAAAAATAATCAGTGACCTTTCCCTTCTTTCCCTCGGCCTTAGTCTTATGCCACGGAAGGGTTTCTTCACTAGCGGTGCCGCAGAGGTTGCAAAGGTCGCGCCTGGCGTGCACCAAAACGCCCATCGGCTGTAGGGCGACAAACGGTGCGATGTCGGTGTGGCAAAGCGACGCAAGTGTTGAAATATCAAGAAATAAATACAACTGAAAACCGAAGGAAGGACAAATCAATCGGCATCCTTTTCCATCCATCCGAGTGAGAGACATCATACAACTATGAAACGGTGACCACCATTTATTTTTTTTTAAAGCTTTTTTTTTTTTTTTTTTTTCCCCAGACCAAAGGGAGAGAAAACGATTTCATCAATCAGCCTCAGTCTATTCATTCGGTCGGCCGTGAGCCCCCCCCCCCCCTTTTTGTGACAGACTCCAAGGGCAACAATCAGAAATACTGCTCCCCTCGCTGCGGTTACTCGGCCGCGCTCATTCATCACCGGATTCATTTCGACTTTTAAAGTTTGCCATCCTGAGATCTGCCACTTTGCAGTGAACTCCGAGTGGAAGAATGACTTAGCACTCTCGAAATAGGACATTTTATGATTGAATGCGGAATACGGTCTGCGCCACTGCACTCAGCCAGCCTTTGGAGTTCCCTCGGAGGCCCGTCTGAGTGGAATGGAAGTCGGCTGCGAGCGTGAACTCGAGCGCACGAATATGGCAGTCGTTAGATTAGCCCGAGAGTATACAGAGTGGAACGCGTAACGAGGCCAAACGGTCGTGCCAGTTCGTTCTGTCTGTTGTATGCTGTCAGCGATTCGAAAAGAATCACTTGAAATCGCCCATTCCGAAATCACCAGCGCATATTCTTCGCGCCAAGAATAAGCAATTTTGAAGCCGATAGAAAATATTTATCAATAAGAACCACGGCGCAATCATTGTCCAAAGCCAACAAAACTGGATGAAGGATGAAACCACCAGAGTATTAATTATTAACGTATGCGGAAGGCGCAGATGACGGAAAAAAAAACAGCAGTGGATGACAGAGCTGTATAAACAAGGCCCCAAAATTCTGCAACAATCTCCAGAGGGCACGAGTGAAGATAATCACAATCTCCAGTTTGCAGAACACTTTGTGAACTCGAGTCCTGAGCTGCACCAGAATATGCAAGCCACTCATTAGCATGTTTTCCTCTTTTGAAGTCAAATACAAATGTTTTCAGTCCACAAAAATAATTTGGCCTCACTGTTCCAAAAAGCAAAACAAAACGCTGGCTTTTGAGGGCTTTTCAACTATTTTTCCATTTTTTTTGCAAGTGAGCGGTCATCCTGCTAGCCCGAAGTGTTCAACGGACGATGAATGGGTTCGCGGAGTTTTATTCTGCCACACATCAAAATGGAGATCGGCCTAAAAATATCCACATCCGTTGGGCTTGATTACAAAGAACAATATTTCTCCAATGCCCCACGCAGATGTAGCTTAGCGTTCTCACTCGCTATTTAGCCGCGCGCTCGCCGTACCCTGAAACATCCCATCTCGAGTTGTTTGCTTGAACGTGCCCTTAAATACAGAAATGGCTGCCCTGTGTAAACACTTTAAACCCTCTTTACACCAGCTGTCTGAAACTAATTCATCTCTCCTCCTCCTTAAATATCTCCCGCCCTCCCTCTTGTACCTTTTTGCCCATCTGTCAAGAAAAGAATGTCCATCAGAGACTTGGTAATGAGAAGTGAGCTATTCCCCCCCCCCCCCTCATCAGCAGCTTTCTCGTCCAACAATACTCCTTCTATTTCTTCATTCCCACATGGCCCTGAACTTCCCTGAAAAGTCAAAGTCAACATTAAAGTCGGTGGAAGCGCCGCCAAATATGAGAGGGGTGTGAGGGGCTTCGTCATTGGTGATTTGTTCATGCACATGACCACTGATAAATGGAAAGATCAAAAGATTCACGCGGCGTTGAAAATCCTGCCTGCCATTAAATGCTATTCAGCTGCCACTCATAATCGGAATCGGTGGTTAAAGACCTCAAATGTTCAGGACAATGCAATTCAAAGAACTTACTGAAAATGTCATTTTTGTTCGACGCATATTCAAAATATGAACAAATCAAAGACTCGTGTGGATAGTCGGTTCAAATTGGAGTGCATTAGGATGTCAAATTTTGACAGCTAAGTCGGTAAAAAGCACACATCCCGCCGACAGAGAGATGCTACTCACGTATCGTGTTTTGTAACGCTCACCTTTCCTGCAGCAGAAGCTCCCTGGTCCACGGAGTAACTGTGAAAAAAAAAAGGACAAATTTAGTCAAAGAATCTAAATTGCCCTTGAATGAGACGTTACGTCAATCGGCAAAACTGGGAGACGTGAACGTGTACGCTGAGACTGACGCGCACGAGCACTCTGTGAATTGATTTGCGTATGTTGAGACTGTCATCGAGCCAAATTTTTTTTTTTTTTTTTTTTTTATGCTGTATGGTCACCACATATTTGAATTAGAAAACGGACACTTCAAACACCTCCGTTGGTGTTTTTTGAAACGCTGTATCTGGATCAATCGAGGTGGCATCCATATGCAAAAATGGGCGATGGAATTGAATTGTAACGCTCCGAATTGGGAGATTCCCCAAGTCTCGATGCCATCAAAATACGCAAAGCTATGAAGTGAATAATTGATTGCTCATTTTGTCTCTTCGAATTCGGCCCAGTGCAAAAGACGATGCTCACCCTGACAGACTGCCGTCTGCACTCTGTGAATTGATTTGCGTATGTTGAGACTGTCATCGAGCCAAATCTTTTTTTTTTTTTTTTTTTTTTTATGCTGTATGGTCACCACATATTTGAATTAGAAAACGGACACTTCAAACACCTCCGTTGGTGTTTTTTGAAACGCTGTATCTGGATCAATTGAGATGGCATCCATATGCAAAAATCGGTGATGAAATTCAATTGTAACGCTCCGAATTGGGAGATTCCCCAAGTCTCGATGCCATCAAAATATGCAAAGCTATGAAGCGAATAATTGATTGCTCATTTTGTCTCTTCGAATTCTGCCCAACGCAAAAGACGATGCTCACCCTGCCAGACTGCCGTCAGCGGAGCTCTCCGCAATCTGGGAGCTGGCAATCCACTTGGTCTCGCCCACCACCGTCCTGGCGTGAGGCAAGCGGCCCACATCTTTCACCGTCATCATCAGGTGCCGCGACGATTTCAGTACTCTGACGGCTTCGTCGTGAGGCACGTTCAGGAAGCTGCGGCCGTTGACTTCCAGAATTTGATCGCCAACCTGCGACGGGGGCAGGGAACAGAAAGGAGCGGTGGAGGGGCAAGACTGCGAGGGCGGGCTGGGCAGAGACTGTGACACGCACGGGTACGTAGGTCAAAGGTCAAAGAGAGGTCACATGACAGATGGAGGAGGTAGAGGCGATTGAAATCACGAGATGGTCGTCCGTTCTTGGTGACGCGTTTGGGGCCGTTCACCACGGGCAGGGGCGCGCCCCTTTTTTCCCCTCAACTGCGCTACATTGAACTCAACCGCTTGCTCATTCCCATCCACGGAGATAAATTGTACATTTGAGACATCCTTCACCATTTTTCAAAATTGATTTATGTTTTTTAATTTTTCTGACATCCCGAGCTTGCCCGCAGCATCGCAATCATGTTCCGCGGCACCCGCAGTCGAACGGAGGTCCATTCTCCACATTGCGTTTCTGCACGGGCACCATTTGTGACCATTTGAGTTTGGCGCATTACAGATGGAAAAAAACAAAGGGACCTAAAATGGCATTTACGGATGCAATGAATCAAGAAATAAATGCAAACAAGCCGGATTGCTTTGAGGCCAGACACGGCCGCCCCAGCAAACAGTTGCCATCGCAGCTGTCAGGTAGAACGAAAGGCTCAGGGACAGATTCGCAAAAGGCGATTATAAGCGGCGCGTTGCAACTCCGTTTGACAAAAGAGACTAAAAATTGACAAGAACCGCTCGTTACCGAGCGCCGTGTTTGACGTCCCTTCACTTTGGTGAATGCTGGGAAAGGAGCATCGGCGCAGTTGTCGCCACCGCATTCCTTTTTCGACCCGTCTGTTGGTCGAACGTGTGCTTAAATTGTCACCAATTGGAGTCAGGTGCTAACGCCGCGAGCAACGACGACAATCAGACGAGCCCACTGTATGCCTTGATGAGTATCGATTATGTTTCGGGAAGAATAAGGGCCGGCCGGCATTGTTGCCGTATTCAACTGGCGACTTATGTTGCTTTCTGCCCTCGCCTCCCTCCCTCTGGCTCCTCATTATGGGGCTGCCCGTTCTCCTATCTTCTCCTTCATTACGCTTCCATTTGAGACATGATGGTTCCCTGCGCTGCGTCGCAAGCATTTCATTTGCTGCGGTCAATCTCCGCGCCGCAGCAGAGATGCTGCAGGGCTGCTCTATTCAATACAACGCAACAAAAGCAGTCAGGTGTGCGACTGATCAATGATGCTGTATGACGGCACTTTCTGGAAGGACGACAAAAGTCACTTCCGGCCGCACTTACTCAAATGTCACGAGTTTCAAGTTGCGGCGAATTTGTGCGTGCAAAGGCGCAAGGCTTCGATTCCGGCTCCGGCCTTCCTCTGTGGACTTTGCGTGTTCTTTCGTGCCCACGTGGGTTTTCTCCGGGTACTCCGCTTTCCTCCCGCATTCCAAAAACATGCGTGGCAGGCTAATGACAGGTCATTTTCTGACAGGATTCACAAATTAGACGAGTGTTTGCCTTTAGGCAATGTCGTTTCCCTTTCAGTTGAAAGCAAGTGGCAAAATGGCCACTCCCTTGGCATGAATCAAAACAAGTGGATGTTACTGATTAATTCATGATCCACAAACACAATATTATTCAGAACACCGACTTTAAAGGCGTTTTGGATTTGATGGAATGGGGAAAAAAAAAACAAAAACACAATTTGTTGCCATCATGGTGGTTTTGTATTTCAGGGGGCTTATAAAAAATGTAAATCACTTTGAATTGTATTGACTGTGAAGAAAATAAAAAACAGGATTTCCTTGATCATTTCGAAAACTGTAGCTATGTTTCGACACACCCCGCGTGTTTACCAGTCATCTCCAAATCGTGGGCTCCACTCTGATGGAAACGCTCTCAATCAAATGCCGGGTGCATGGCCCAACTTTTCTTCAACATTAACAAAGATCATTCCTCAACAGTGAGTGATTTTAGATGGCAACAAAACAAAACAAAACAAAACAAAAACAGAGTTGCTGGCTCCCGGCGGCAAGCAGCGGTTGTTATCCCCTCCCTAAAAAGGTCCCCGGTGGCTCGTGTGTATGAGAAAGACGAGCCGCCCGTTAACAGGTCCGACTGTGATCAATGGACCTCCGGGTAGCCATCAGGCTTTACTGCTGTCTGTATGCGGCCCCCCCCCAATTTGAATCTCCTATTTATTGAAGACGGAAACCGGGACCTGCCTTCGCTGTTACAATATGCAGGCGCACCGTGACGATCGTATTCACCTCGCTTCACATTCCCACCCCTGCAAAATGGCCGCAATAAACCGGCGACGCTTGCAGTCATTTCAATATTTCGACTCTTTCATGTAGCGAGCGCTAAATGACGTGGCGTAACACCTGCGTATTTCCAGTGTTATACTCCGCTGTGAATTAGCACGGCAGTAAATAAGAAGAAAACATCTTGTGGGTAGCTCTCGAATGATTGGAATCAAAACTGAGCCCCCATTTAATTTCAAATCTTGTCCTGACTGTGTCACCATAGTTTGAGTGTCATTGTGAGTGATTGCCAAATACCAGATGACGGGATTGTCAGTGAATGACCTTGTTGTTTGCTAAGCCGCTTTTTTTTTTTTTTTTTTTAGTGGTCACACCGTGTTATGTGCTGTCTCAGCAGGCTTGCTTTATCATCAGACGGGATGGAAAATCACCCCCCTGTGCAAATGAGAACTCCTTGGCCTGGAGCCACGAACATGCTCACAGCTTTCCTTCGTTTAGTTTGCCATCCCTCATGTGCGTTTCAATGTTTCGGCTTGGGGTTCAGGAAAAGAAAAAAAAGAAAAATCAAAACTTAAGGATGAAATGCAATTCAGAAAATATGACTTGTATGATTTATATGAGACAAGAAAAGAAAAATAATAGGGGAAAGAAGGGGGGGACAACTTGGCGTATGCTGTCAGTCTAGCAGGTCAGATTTTAAATCCATCATCATTTTGGTGTCTTGTGTTTGTTACAACTCAGGGTTCATCCATCTCAGCAGTGTGATCCGCGCTCACATTTGCTACTCCGTTCCCCGTAGCAACCATCCGCCTCTTTGGGAGAGAAAGAGCTGGCGCGAGAGGAATTGAAGGCGAGAGATTGTCTGCATATCGGATGTTAAATATGATGATCGACAGTCTTCTGGCTAAACCGTTCCGCTTCAACGCGAAACAGCGTTTTGGATTTGATGGAATGGGGAAAAAAAAAACAAAAACACAATTTGTTGCCATCATGGTGGTTTTGTATTTCAGGGGGCTTATAAAAAATGTAAATCACTTTGAATTGTATTGACTGTGAAGAAAATAAAAAACAGGATTTCCTTGATCATTTCGAAAACTGTAGCTATGTTTCGACACACCCCGCGTGTTTACCAGTCATCTCCAAATCGTGGGCTCCACTCTGATGGAAACGCTCTCAATCAAATGCCGGGTGCATGGCCCAACTTTTCTTCAACATTAACAAAGATCATTCCTCAACAGTGAGTGAGCAGAGATGGCAACAAAACAAAACAAAACAAAACAAAAACAGAGTTGCTGGCTCCCGGCGGCAAGCAGCGGTTGTTATCCCCTCCCTAAAAAGGTCCCCGGTGGCTCGTGTGTATGAGAAAGACGAGCCGCCCGTTAACAGGTCCGACTGTGATCAATGGACCTCCGGGTAGCCATCAGGCTTTACTGCTGTCTGTATGCGGCCCCCCCCCAATTTGAATCTCCTATTTATTGAAGACGGAAACCGGGACCTGCCTTCGCTGTTACAATATGCAGGCGCACCGTGACGATCGTATTCACCTCGCTTCACATTCCCACCCCGGCAAAATGGCCGCAATAAACCGGCGACGCTTGCAGCCATTTCAATATTTCGACTCTTTCATGTAGCGAGCGCTAAATGACGTGGCGTAACACCTGCGTATTTCCAGTGTTATACTCCGCTGTGAATTAGCACGGCAGTAAATAAGAAGAAAACATCTTGTGGGTAGCTCTCGAATGATTGGAATCAAAACTGAGCCCCCATTTAATTTCAAATCTTGTCCTGACTGTGTCACCATAGTTTGAGTGTCATTGTGAGTGATTGCCAAATACCAGATGACGGGATTGTCAGTGAATGACCTTGTTGTTTGCTAAGCCGCTTTTTTTTTTTTTTTTTTTAGTGGTCACACCGTGTTATGTGCTGTCTCAGCAGGCTTGCTTTATCATCAGACGGGATGGAAAATCACCCCCCTGTGCAAATGAGAACTCCTTGGCCTGGAGCCACGAACATGCTCACAGCTTTCCTTCGTTTAGTTTGCCATCCCTCATGTGCGTTTCAATGTTTCGGCTTGGGGTTCAGGAAAAGAAAAAAAAGAAAAATCAAAACTTAAGGATGAAATGCAATTCAGAAAATATGACTTGTATGATTTATATGAGACAAGAAAAGAAAAATAATAGGGGAAAGAAGGGGGGGACAACTTGGCGTATGCTGTCAGTCTAGCAGGTCAGATTTTAAATCCATCATCATTTTGGTGTCTTGTGTTTGTTACAACTCAGGGTTCATCCATCTCAGCAGTGTGATCCGCGCTCACATTTGCTACTCCGGTCTCCATAGCAACCATCCGCCTCTTTGGGAGAGAAAGAGCTGGCGCGAGAGGAATTGAAGGCGAGAGATTGTCTGCATATCGGATGTTAAATATGATGATCGACAGTCTTCTGGCTAAACCGTTCCGCTTCAACGCGAAACAGATGAGGAGAATCAAGTCGCATGAAAAAGCAGTCAGAAGAAATTACAGAGGCAGTTTGTTTGGGTTTCTCTCCCCCCCCCCCCCTTGGTTTGCCTGCAGGCGAATTACTGCATGGTCATCATCGCAAATACAGTATGACCTTTTCTCTGACCACTTGAATGAAATTAAATCGAACCAGAACAATGTTTACAATAGGGCAATGCATCCGTATCTATGTCGCTATAGCGATGTAGCCATCTATCTATTTCGCTAGCTATCTTCCAACGGGGGATGCAAATCCATCCATCCATCCATCCTTTGTCTTTTCTGCTGATCCTGTTCGACATCACAGGGGAGGTGATGGAGCACATCCCCGGCTTATCCAATCAATCACCAGACTGACACAGAAAGACAACCATTTGCGCTCACATTCACAACGGCGGACAACAGAAGAAGAGTTGTCAGTGACCCTCACGCACACGAGGGAGGAAGCGAGAGTTAGCAGGAAATATCCACAATATGCCCGAAGGAACGGTAATGACTCGGAGTTTATCCAGACGGTCTTCAATGCTTGGTCATGTTTTTAAAAGTGAGCAAGAGGAAGGAAAACAAAGTAGCGGTACCTTGAGCCCTCCGCACTCTGCTGCCGAGCCGTGGTCCACTCCGGTGATGTAAATACCCAAGGCGTATTCCGCTCCCCCTCGGATCATGAGGCCCAGAGATCGACCGTCATCCAAAACCAAGTTGACCTATCGATGACAGTGAGATTAGTACGGATGGTCCAATCAGCGGTAAACACATCTGAGATTTGATTTTGCAGCCATATGGACCAGCCGTTGATAACCCGATAAAGATTCTGACAGTCATATCAAACCTTTGGACACTTTCCATATGACATAATGTTATTTTATTCTTATCTACCGATCATATATTGTGTCAGTACGGGTAATACCAGTTCCTTTGACACAAAGGACACGTTTAGTGACGGCTTAGCCATGCCCAATATTCATTTGGGATTATTATCAAGAAAGCCGATGGTAAATGTATGCCGTTCCGTGGCTGGGATAGGGAAAGACGTTTCCATGTACCGAATTTTTATAAGGACACAGTCATTTAATTTTGCATCGGTTGATGATGCCGCGATTCAGTGGCTAAAATCTCTGGATTGACAACGACTGCCCAACTGGGAAAAACCCAAACTGCTTCGTCCAGCGAGAAAAATGAGGACATCATCATTTTTTTTTTCTTTTGATTTATACGTACTCGTAACTCTCAGATGATGAAAATGTGAAAGATCTGGAGTAATACAAGTTCTCAGCATGTCTGACTCTTGCTTTGACGGTTATGTGATGGTTACAGGGTCAGTTTTGCGGGATTTATGATGTAATTACTGTGCCCGTTAATAATGGCGGTTTTCATCACGCCGATTGTAAATGGAGCCGTTTATTATTCAGTGAACAGCAAGGAATGTGTGCCATGCGAAAACAAGATCTTATTTTTCACTTTAGGCACCCTACCGGTTATATTATTGACCTTGGCTGGATATGAATGGTGGACTGTATTTATATTTATTCTTTTTTTCAATGACCCGATCCTGTTTTTTTTTTTTTTTTTAATTGATAACTACAGCCCGGTTTTGTTCGATCACTATTGTGAGCGTTGATAGCAACGTGAAAATGGAAGCCATTTAGTATTTAGTTGCAGTGTGAAAGGAGTCACATGATCCACACGGCCAGGCAAAAAGGACTTCCAGGAGTCAAAATGTCCAATGTGAAATAAAAAGCCCGTTACTTTTTGCAGTCTTGGGTCTATTCAAAAATGAACGGCCATTACAGAGGCAACATCTTCTGTGGTCCCTTCGGGGGAAGTGGTCACGATTTTGGAAATGAGATAGATGAGGTTACTTTCAATGACAGAATTTCCTCTTGCCTTTTTTTTTTTAAACGCGCGTTAATATTCTAGTTTTCCGGCTCATCGAGCGCTTGAAGACGGTCGACGGTCTGAGAAGTATCACGTCAATATAAAAATAACATTTTCGTAAGCAGCACCGCATCAAGCAGAACCAGTTCAAAAGCCCATCATGGAAACGGGCCCCCCCCGATTGTAACTACGAATTCAACTGGGCCTCCGGCGTTCCTTCTCGGTGCCCGGTTTCTCACACGCCTCACCTTCTTCTCATCTCCCTCCTGCAGGAGCTGCATGTTGCTGCGTCGCTGGCTGTCACTTCTTCTGAGGGCGGCGCTGTGATGCTCAGGCAGGTCCGGAGGAGGGGACACACTGTGGCCCAGCGGGTCAACCCACGTATACACGTGGTTGGTGACAAAGCCGCCCGGAATCCTCCCCACTGAGCGTACGGAGAGGCTCAGCTTTTTATTGCCCTTCAGCACCTGAGGAAAATATAGTTGGGTACTATTGTAAAACGCAATCTATGCGCCAAGCTGCCCAAACGGGTCTCGCTAATGCCTAAAACCCGGAACCTTTTTTTTTTTTTTGGATTGGCTGCTATTTCGGCAACATTGCAAAGCTGTGCACTGGGGATTCAAATATGGAACCGCGGCAAAACCGCCACTTGACAGCAGATTCTAACGAAATGTATGCGGCGCCATTAAAACGACCTCAAACAAATACATACGCAAACATAAAAAGTAGATATACAGCGATAGATTTTGATAAGTAATTGCTGTGGTTCATTGCCGTCTAATGGCTTTCGCGGTCCACGTACGCGGACTGCTCATAAAATCAGACCAAGTGGGGCAGTTCAGCAAATACCCAAAGGCCCTCGTATTTCTGGCTGTTGACTTTTACAGCAGCAGACCTGACACTGTCACTCTGGTGATTTTCAACAGCGCAAAAAGATCGCATTTGACAAATGAAAAGAAAAATATGCCCCTCAAAACATACAGGTAGAGAAAGTCGATTTTTTTTTTTTCTTTGCAGGGCCCGTTTTCGGGGTAATCAAACTTGCAGAGGCTGGTTCAGGCAATGTGAATGATACGCATTGTGGTGAGGTGAGAGATGATCTTCCACTTTCCCCCCCCCAAACGAAAGAAGTGAGGGATAGCAGGGTGAGTTTGGAAAAAAGAAAATAAAATATCCGGAAGCTCCCCGATGTATCACAAAACAATTTTAGTCGACGGGCAGTGCGCCTCGGTGAGTGTTTCCATTACAGTTGGAGCTTGTCCTCAAGGGACAGCGCCATGATTTAGTCGCCTGGATGACTCTCAAGGCAGAAAACAAGGGGGGCCATGTCAACTGGAAAAATCACGAGAAATGCGGCGAACCTGTTGAGAAATCACATTGAAGCTTCGTGGGCTGGGAATCATGAAGGCTTCGCCTAAATCACACAAGTTACGAGGCAGCACCGTTGCAGACAGAATCTTTTTCAGCACATCCCGGATTCAACCTGCACACAGCGCCGACTACAAAACAAATCACCAGCTCTGTGTTGTCATACAGAAAAACAATTACCGTCCTTGGCTTGAGCAAAACCCCACTGTTTGTTTTTTTGTGAGGCACAGTAGAAGCTATTAAAAAATACTGCCCTTCAGAGTGCAGCGTTAACTTTGTGCGTTTTCTTCTCACGCCGAGTTCGGAGCCAAGCAAATGTTCCTCGAATCCCGGTTCTCACGCCGTTTGCAGCTGACGGCCGCTGGTGCTGACAAGCAACAGTTAGATTTGCCACTTAAATGTGATCAGCTGTCGGGAGTACGGAAAGGGTCAAATTAAAAGCATGAGTACATATGTATGAGACAAAAGGCCAGCTTTTATTTTGTAGCATTTACATTGAGATTTATTTCACATTTGAGCAGAGAGCGAGCGCGCACACACCCGTACTAAAATTTGACCTCTTGCATTTGACCCAGCAAACACACACATTTTTATTTATTTTTTTTATAGGCACACAGTGACGCAGGGGGAGTACTTCGGGAAAAAAAATGCATGAAAGCAGGACGGGTTTTTATTCTGGCGTTCGGTTCAAAAGCTCAAACTCGACGTCATTTAAAAAGAAGAATCAAGTGAAAGCGTCCCCCACCACCCAAAAAAATATGGCCGCACATTTTATTTGTAGCAGAGGCGGAAAAAACGGGCCACCAGTTAAAAGCCTTTTTTTTTTTGAGTGGCCGTCAAATGTATTCGTAGCAATAGTTGAAACCATTCATTGTCGATTGTGCAAACGAATGGCACGGGCTTAATACGTCGTGATGAACACGCAGAGTGCACTTGCCAAATCAAGTGCATTCAAGCATGCCATCATTTGCGCACTCGCACACGCAGGCTCACACAAACACGCAAATCAGATGCGAGGTACGAATATGGCTGCACACATTACTGGGCACCACGTTTCAACCAGGAAAATGGCCTTTTCTCCTGTGACTTTACTGCTGTCACAGTGGATCTATCAAGCGCTGCAGAAGCACGCGCACAAACGAGCATGAAGGGGAGATTTGTGAGCAACTTTCACAACGACGACGAAAATTCTAAATCACACGGAACATTGTCGACATTGATAAAAACACTTGACAGACAGAGACAGAGAAGCATTCAGATGACCAAGTACCGAAACAAAGTGTGTGGAGTTGCGCATATACACACCAGAGACTGCGATTCATCGCATCCTTGTGTTTAAAAAACAAAAAAAAACAATGCTGGCTTGAGGGGGCTTTTGCAACTCCACTTGGAAAGACAGATTTGCCTTTTTCAATAGAGAACACACGTTGAAAAATCTGCACAAGATCTGGAGTTTGTCTTCCTCGAGAACAATGTTTGAAAATCTGAAATTCAGTTTCTAAATGTCCATTTAATCCATCTAGACGCACCAAAAAAACCAAAATCCAAAACTACCTGATGAACTGAAAGCTTTCTATGAAAAGAACACAGAAATCAGGAAGGTCGCAAATGCTAGTTAACAGCACTGGATACATTGTTTAGACCCGACGACGTGCTGTTAACGACAATTTCGGAAATATTCCACTGGCAGCGTGATCTGCAAAAAAAAAAAAAAAGATAGTTGAAGTGATGGAGTACTTGGCAAACTTCCCACGGCGAGCAGAAATGATCTGTGACCTTTTCTCTCCTTTCACCTGAAACTCTGCCATGTCTTCCGGGATGTGGTCTTTAAATTTGTGTGCCAAGCGTCAGCAAAACCAAACAATCGATGAAACAGAGGATTTGTGTTTCCAAACCGCATTGTTGTCGGGTCACCACGACAATGCGCAATGACCGGCGTCACAGACCCGCCGAACTGTGGGCACAGTAGCCACATTTCTTTGCTTGCCGGAGGCAAACGGCTCTGCCGGCGGCGCTCTCCATGCTGTACGAGAATGGCAAATCTTCACTTTGCAATCCATCTACCGGCTCTGTGTTCCATTTGTGGGGGGAGGGGGGGGGGGCAAAGTTTGTGACCGCAACCCGGCGCGAGCGATGAATAAATTCAACAGCCGCTTGCGGTCAACCCGGCGGCACTTTAGTTGGAAAGTCTAACATGTGGCATGACAATGCGCGAGTTTCACAGCGCAAAAATACACGAGGGTTGCCGTTAAAAGTCAGATATGGATTCGGGGAAACCATTTCCTCGCCTTTCCTTGTCCTCATTCGGGTCAAACGTAACAGGAGCCTTTGGAGCTGAATTTGGGCGGTTGCGGCATTGAAAGCGTCGGCTGCGTTTCGAGCCTCTCGCTGCCCACCGATTCATCGCTGACATTCAAGATGGCCGTGACAGCTGAGATCAAGTCTCAAATCAATACACGGGCTTTCTAATCCCTGATGGGCCCGAATTTTTAGTTCAGTGTCAGTGACTGGGCGTAACAACCAATCGGTCTCAGTCCTCGAACGTCCTGGCAGTTGTGCGGGAAGAATTATCGATTCATCACGTCAGAAAGAAATTGAGCCAAAATTGGAGTGCAATCGTTGACCTTGATGAAGTCTTTTCTCTTTTTTTGTTGTTGTTGTTTGAATCAATTAGGATCAGCTAAAGCGTACGGCACATTCAGGTTGACGTGTACTATGGAACAACGACTCTGGCCAGCATTCAACTGCGTATAATGAGAGTGGTCATGGAAACAGCAGTTAAAAAAAAAAAAAAAAAAAGCAAGGGAATGCTATTCCCCTGACACACTTTTGCAAAACGTATAACCCGAGTTTACCAAAGCTAGCACAAAGGTGAGCGCCGCCATTTCCTACCTGCCTACTTGCAAAAAACACTTCAAAACTCACCAGACGACAAGACAACTAGTGAGTTGGGAATAGTTTTTCCAACTCTTGTGTACGCATTTTTGCCAGATGTATGCATGGGTCGCATATGAATAAGAAGCTGTTTGGGAGCCAAATTAAGTAAACACATGGAAGGATTAATGAGTAAATGACAAGGCCGCCAACACGGAGACTTAATGGAGTCAAGTCATCAATCACAGGGATTAGCCAGAGAAAAACATCCACAATACTCATCTCCTCTAATCCTCAAATCCCCCCCCCCCACACCCCCCACACCAATCTACCCCTCTCTGTTTCTCTCATTAAATTGAATTAATGTACTGGAACACCTGCACGGACCCACATAGCACACAAAGCAAGACTTTCGGAGTGAATTTCAACTGAGTCATGAAGAGATTCTTTCCTTTTTTTTTTCCCTTCACATGAAAGAAAACCACCTTCTCTTATTGCGGTTGTGTGGGTGGTGAGCATTGTGAAATGAGTGGGTTTTATCTTTTTTTTTTTTTTAATTAATAACACAAACATATACAAAGAACTGCCAAACCAGGGGGGGATGGGGGGGGCACGCATTTGTTGATATTCGTGCTTGAGTACACTGTATGAGTAATCCAGTCTATGCAACCAGCAAGTCCGAGAAATAACATTAGTCGTCGTAGCTCAAAATTTCGTACTGACTGTTTCTGTGAACAAATATTGCCAACGTCGATGGAATTATGCAAAAGCAACAACCAATTGGAGCGGCCGTTGGCATCTGTTTCCATTTCTCCCAAGCATCCATTACAACTGCTCATTTTGCTCGCGCTGATGGACTTTGCATTCAAGATTTCCTCTTGAAGCCGGTTGGAAAAGTGTCGGGGGGTGTCATGCTAATGAGAGCGTAATTATCACATCAACCCTTCGGGGATCCTTCGTACACACACAATTCATTGAGTTAACGTAACGAGTAATAAGCGGTGGGTGCTTTACTGTCACCACGACTACGTAGCAGATTTCACAACCTCGGGCAGCATCCGAGTTAATGATGGCGGCAAGCTCAATTTGGAAGTAAACACTGAATAATGTCACCGAGACTCTATTTTTTTCAGTGTGATGTCTCGCTCAAAGATACAGGATGAAAGTTTTTTTTTTTTTTTTTTTTTAGTCTGAAAATGTTCCTTAGCATCTCTCGAACTAAAAT